CAGGCCGGTCGGCGGGCCGCATTTCGGATATTACCGACGCCGGCCGACCTGTTTTCATATTCGAAAAAAAAAAAACCAAAATTTCAGATTCAAAAATTAAAAAGTTCAACGATTTGAGAAAACTTACTCGTTCCAGTGGATGTTTCCCGCGACGACAATTTTCTCCGGTCATCGATTTGAAGTCTAGGAAGATTGAAGATTAGAGATTGGAGTGTTTGAGGTTGAAGATTAGAGTGTAGGGTTAAAGTTTGGAGTTTTAAAATTTGAATTTGATATTTAGAATATAAAGGTAAAATTAGAAGTCAACTTTTGACCACTTGTTCTGGATTATTATAAAGAAGCATAATTATTTTTTTTAAAAAAAATAAAATTGTGTTTAAACTAAGAGAAAAGAACCATCTATGTATTCAGTTTACCGTGAGCCTTTAATGTTATAGTCATGTTAATTAAAAAAATATTATATAACATTATTAAGCAATTATTAAATATTAAATAAAAAATATGGAAAGTCAATTAGAAAAAAAAAATGGGTTCAATAATTGGGCCTATCAGCAATTATTCTTCGCGCCTGGAATATTTGCATCAAGCATTTCCTGATACTCGGGATTAATTTTCTTGTCTTTGGAAGCAAGATTGAGCCAAAGTTGCTAGTCATTTTTGAGTACCACCCACAGCATGTTGTCATCCATTGTACATTATCTGCATGTATGTAACAGTTTCAAAACCTCTATGTGGATAGTTTAGATATCTAACAGGAGGAGTAATTGGAAACTCATCCAATATAATTCAGGCCTCCGAACACTACTCCAAACAACACTGGCCTTTTCACTATGAGATCTAGAGTTTCTTAATAAATCATAATGGGTCACATAAATGTTCAAGAACATATGACGTTTCCTAAATAACACTGGCCACTAATGTGAACATTGTGACTAATCCAAAAGAACCAGATGCAAGCCATTCATGAACAGCTGCAAAATACAAACGAAAAATATCATGGCCCAAAGGTAAGAGCTTAGAATGTATTTTCTGTACACACAATCTTCTGAAATTAAATGATCCAGCAAAAAGAGCAGCACTCAATAAATAGGTCAAGAAAGAAATACCGTTACCTGTAACATCCGGTTATAGGGTTATTTTGGAGACTACAACAGCAACTGGTTGATCATCCAGATTGATTAAGAGGAAAAGTTTGTATTGATCTCCAAATCTGTCCTGTACATAAAATACCTGTTGCTATGATATTTTCAAGCTAGAGAAGTACCCCAATTTAGATTTCAGGAACAAAATCACCAAACCTGCAATCTATTTCTTATCTTCTCGTAACTCTGTGAACCTGGCCTCGCAGGTTTCCTTTAAATAGCACTCCACCCTTAAGATGTTATTGTCATGAGGTATTGCGGATAGAATCAGAGATTGACCGATAACAGAATTCAGATGAAGTAGAATTCTGGTAGAAAAGGGCTCTCAATTTGCTTTGACTTTATTGGTCAATTACTAAGAGTACCAGTAAAATACATTCAACTACTAAGAATACTCTGTAGTTGTTATCTCTATTTAGTAAGTGTCTCTTGTCTTCTCCAGAAGGACATCAATTCTTTGAACTGCATATTATATTATAACCCACAAAAGAAACAATTTTTAATCAAACAGGTTTCTCTATCCCATTATAAGTAAAACTAAAGACGACGATTAAATTTTCTACAAAAAGGAGCATTTTTCAACAATCAATAAGCAGAGTAGTTGGATGATTAAATCAAGAATTAGAAATTCACTACTAACCGATTTTCTTTCGTGAACAACAGCTGATTGTGGGTTTCATGTTTCCCACAATTCAATATGCCTTCTCAAGTGTTGTGATTCTGGTATCCTGTTCTTACTGTCCTCTGATTCATAAGGGTCCAAGTCCTTGAGTTCATATGGATCAACCTCCAGGCAAACCGGCAGCTGTTTAAACTCTTCTTTATTTTGTTCATTTTGAGGTGGGAATTTGCTATGATACCTGAAAAATGTCTTTAACAACATTAAGTTAAAGAAGAAGATGCAGAGAGTAGGAGAGAGCAAGACTAATGCCAAAAACAGGAAGAGTAATGCAAGAATCACCAAAGGGAGAAGTAAAGAGCCTAAAATTAGAGCTGAAAACAGGAAGAAGAAGGTGGAGTGATGATGCTTTTGCAACAATGTCTCCACAAGATTTGAAGCATAGGGGATAACAACAAATCCCAACCAAGTTACAGTTATGAATCCTTTCAAAACTCTTTGTGATGACAGCTTTCACCCCTGTTACATGATAAAACCAAACCATTAATATTGAAACCCGTAGATCAAACAAAAATTGTAATGCTTGGAGAAGAAAAATTATAAAGATTAGAGTAAAATGTTAAAATGGTCCCTTACATTTGACCTTACTTGAATTTACGTCCCTTACATTAACATTTCAATATCGTAGTCCCAAACATTATGTGTTCACACTTTTTTGGTCCCATTTTACTGTTTCGATCACATTTCAATCCAACTCGATGTTGACCGGCCGTTGACTTGTTGGGGTTAGGGTATTTTCGTCCTTTCACGTAATTTGACCTTTCATCAAATTAAAATCATTAAAAATATTAAAAATTCATATTGTAAATTATTTAAATAGTATTTATTAATTTGACATATTATTATAATATTTTAAAATTTATATTTTTTAACAAATAATTTTTTCATTTAACCATTTATCTTAGGTGAAAAATAAACAGTAATTCTACATTTTAACTCCAGGCCCACAGTAAATCTATAATTTTACCGAGCTACAGAGAAAAATTTAAATTTCAAATTTAAAAAAAAAATTTAAATTAAAACAGTAAATTTATAATTTTACCAGGCTACAGTGAAAAATTTAAATTTCAAATTTAAAAAAATAAAAATAAAATTTTAAATTTTAAATTTTAAATTTTTGATTTCAATTTGAAATTTAAATTTTTCACTATAGTCCAGTAAAATTGTAAATTTACTGTTGGCCCGGGGTTAAAATGTAAAATAATTATTGTTTACTTTTCATAATTTAATTTTTTTAATTTTTTTTTTAAATTTGAAATTTAAATTTTTCACTGCAGCCCGGTAAAATTATAAATTTACTGTGAGCCCGGGATTAAAATGTAGAATAATTACTGTTTACTTTTCACCTAAGATAAATGGTAAATGAAAAAACTATTTTTTAAAAAATATAAATTTTAAAATATTATAATAATATGTTAAATTAATAAATACTATTTAAATTATTTAAAATATGAATTTTTTAATATTTTTAATGATTTTAATTTGATGGAAGGTCAAATTACGTGAAAGGAGAAAAATACCCCTGATCCTAACAAGTCAACGGCCGGTCAACATCGAGTTGGACGGAAATGTGGTCGAAACAGTAAAAGAATAACAGAACAAGACCAAAAGAATAACACAACTGTCCCCTTTCTTCCTTTGCAATCCCGTATCCAATCCTTAATCATCACCGACGATAATCCCATATTTCAAAATTGTTGCCCGGTATTTTACTACATAATTTTTTTTAAAAAAAATTTATAGCACAATTGTGCATACCCTCTGAACTCATTGAATTCATAGATCTATAAAAAAGTTTTTTAAAAAAAGTCAGGCATTTACCTATACCAAGGATGACAGGGTCGTGAATCTTTCTATTAAAGCTGTTCATCTTCTCTCACGTCTCCCGTTATTGCCGCCAGGTATATCTATGTACCGGCGTTGTTGTTTGTCGCCATTAAAGACTCTCTTATGGAATTAGCCATCTCCTTCAACACCCATACAATTTACTGAAATTGATTAAGAGGAATGGAGATGGGAATGGCGATGGAGACGAAGAGGGAGATGCGAAAAAATTGGCATAAAAAAACAGAATGATATTAGTGTTTGAATCTTTGAATTTACCTTCGTATTTCTCCAAAAAGAAACGCAAGTGGACAATCAAATTTTTGGCATAAAAAAAAATTAATTCAAGGGGTGTTGAAATTTGACGATAAGGACTTTGGTGTCCATATTGTTGAATTTGATTCATAATCGCAGAAAATCCGAGCATCATCAGCATCGGAATCGAAGGGCCATGGAAATCTGAGCATCGACAGCATCGGAATCGGAAGGGCCATGGGGGATGAAGTTTAGATAGTAGAAGAGGAAAAGAAATTATTGCACCAATATATATATATATATATATGTAACCGAGGAATTATGGCCGTGAAGAGCTGATATTTATCTCCCTTTTCCGATCTCCCTTTTCGGGACATCTTTAGTTGCCTTAGAAATTGGAATTAAGGATCGAAAGATAGATTGCTAATTGATGTCAAATTTGAAGTAGTGGATTCGAAGGGATTACAGAATCATCCGGCCGATATAAACTTCTTGATTTTGTTGATAACTTGGTTTTGTGATATTTATTTCGATTTTAAATCCCTTGATTTGTGCAATAATTCGTAGCAGGTTTTAAAATCTTTCAGTTTAATTTACTGTTTTGAAAATGGACTCAGAACTGAATATTTCTGCAAATATATGAAGCCACGTGGCGTATTCTCCTTTATTCGTTTTTTTTTGTACTGAGAAGCGCTGAGAAACTTTGGAGGGAAAATTTTTATTCTGGAACTAACTCGTGTTCTTTGTATTTGCTGCTTTAAGTAAGTACTATAAATTATAATTATTTGTTCTGAAAAGGATCAATCATGACTTGAAAAAGGCTTTATCGGAGATTATTTTGTTCTATTTTATTTTATTTTAAAAAATTAGATTGTTCTCATATTTATATTCCTGAAAATCTACAAAGATATAATGGAGCTACATTTGTTTCAAATTTGTACTAAAATTAGTATAAATTTCAAAATTAAATGTTGATTAGTTTTCAAGGGACAGGGGGAGTAATCACAAAAGGTCCAGGTTGTTGTTGCATTAGTTAGGGAAATAATTTTCCTTATCGAAGACTAATAATCACAATTGTTCTCATTTCCCCTCAACATTTTATTTTTTATTCATCAATTTCCGTTATAACGTTAGCGAAATACGAAGGACAAAAATGGTCAGGAGATAAATTCGAAAATATACTGTGGCCTCTGTAGTGTCTTTAGCGCAAATTACATTGGTGAAAAACAGAAGGGCAAAATTGTCAGGATGTTTTGAAAATAAACTAATTTACCTTCCCTTCCCTGCTTTCCCCCGCCACCCCTTCCCATCGTTTCCTTCCACCCCACCACCGCCTAAGCAGCTCCCCCTCCGACGACCCGCCATAACCACCATTCTACTTTCCAGAATTTCCGGCTGATACACTGATTGGTACCATTAGGGTACTATTTTTATTGCTTCAAATCTGGTAATTCCTCTAATCTTTATGCCAATTTGGGTTTTTCTTTTCTGTATTTGTTTATAATTGGTGTGAAAGTCTGCCTTCGTGGATTCGGTTGTGGTTATTGTTCTGTTTTGACGGAATTTGTTGTTTTTAACAATTGTGAGAGAAATATATCAGTTGAATAACTAAGCTTAAAAGGTTGAATGATTCACTTTGTAAGTTTATCGATAGGATATATATGGTAGTTTTGTGATTTCAGTTTCATTCGACATGTTGTTCTGGTGTGTTGTTCTAAATGTGCTTTGGCTGAAGATAGAAACTTAGGTTGTTTTCCCTTCATTAGCTGTTAATGAAATTTTGTAATGTTGTCGATTGAGCGAAAACGATGCTTGTGTTGTTTCTTCTTTAATACTAATGTTCAGTTGATGACGTCAATGCGCTTAATTAAGACTCCCTCTGGTCCTAATTATAAGACACAAGTTAACACTGAAGTTAGTCCAAATGTGTACCTTATAATTAGGACCGGAGAGATACAATTGTTAACGTAAATGCTCTTTGATCTGTGAGCTGATATGCATATTTAAATACCATTTATACTGATATCTGCTGTTAAAAGTTTGCTTTTGTTTGTTCAAAGACACCAAAATTATATGATAAAGGACCATTTTGGTTGAATGCAATTAAGAAAACTTGGTTTCATATCTTTCTGGTTTGTCCTATGTAAGTTCAGGAGCAGTTTCTTCACATTAGCATGCGGTTGTGTCCTGTGATGAAGTCAGAAATTTCACAATGGGGGTGTGAGACTTTCTAGACTAATTATAAACATTGTAATGTTTGGAAAGCACGTGCAAAAATGGATCATGTATCAAATTCTAATAAAAATTAGCATGTTTCCACTAGATAGAAAAATTGAGGGGTGTGGCCGCACCCCTGGCTCATCCATGGTTGTGTCTTTGATGCCAGGTCTCTATTATTTGTTATTTTGATCGTATAATTCTATTTTATGTTGTGTAGTTTTGATGCTTCTTTGGAATGTATAGAGATAGTTGCTTCTTTGAATTTTATGACGTGAAGTTCGAAGAAGAAAACTAGGATTTCGTGTATAAGTCTAGTTAACCTCTTTAGTTTCCTGCTGTCAACTCTTACACATTTCATCACTGATTCATGCCTATGAAACTTTAATTTATGAGTTGTTGTTGTTGATTTTTATCTGCCGAATCTTGATTTTGTCTAGGTCTGTAATTGTAATTTACTGTGCATTTTAGTGCGATTCCTTGATGAGTATGTGTTTTACTCGAGTTTGAGCTTAGTCATGGGATTGAACTATTTAAAAGCTTTGTTGATATGCTGTGTGAGATTTGTCTGTCTGATCTTTATGAGACTTAAGAAACAGAAGAAGATTAAGGTCTCTCCTTGTTGAAGAGTCTTAATGACTGTTTTCATATTAGCTGTATAAATAGAATCATTTAGAATCACGAACAAGTGTGCTTTTAGGTGATCGAATTCTAAACTGGTTGATTATAACTTAAATTGCATGTTCACTGCATGTATTACATGTACAATGTAAACAATAGGTAGACATTAATCTTTTTCTGTCTCTTAAGCCTCATAGTGGTATGTCCATCCTCCTTTGGGTTTGCTGGGGAAGCAATTAGAGAGCCATGGAATAAACAACATCCATCTCTACCTAGTTCGTGTTATTATCTTTTTTGTATTTCGAAGTTCATGTATGCACTTTTCAGATGTAAGGTCATGAGAGTACCGCTCGTTTGGCGTCCCTCAAATCACACAGACACGTAGAGTCTATGTTATTTATATGTAAGAAAGACATTGACAAAAATTTCCCAAAACAATTGGTTTATCAAGGAGAGAACTTAAAGTGAATATCGTGGAAATGAAATTGGGACTTGCCAATCTAGTAACCTAGCATATACCAAATATTGGGTCTAATCCCAAACTCCTATCACAAAACCATTAGGCAAAACTTCATTCCTGCACATTCCTAATCAAATCGACAAACCAGAAACAGCTGTTAGTTTTGTCGAAGGCTTGTAGTCCATTTTATATAATTATTTTGCATAACCAAAATCTGGTACCAACTCCGTTTTACTCTCTTTTCTTAACCAAGAAACAACCAGCAACTTATCAGCCTTATGATTACCATTTTAATTCTGTTTTACTCAAAAGCACCTCATTCAACACCCTCATTTTTTCAGAAAACTCCCTTGCTCAACACCGACCCAATTGTTCCCATTTAAATTCTCTTGGCAACCCAAGATTATCTTCTCCAACCTCCCACATGATTAATTTTCTATCAAGTGGGAGTGGTAGATCAGCTATCATTGTCAATCTTCACCTATGCCACCGCACCACAATCACCAGTCACCGATTACCATTCGTATTGTAAAAACTGAACTGACAATCCTTGCTCTTAAAGAACCAACCATGTAATTGAAGTGGCTAGGTTGAATCCGAATCCGAAAGAGAATTCGAGAGATACAGGGCCAGTGTGGAGAGGAGATGAAGGTCAAGTTAAATTTCTAATCAGTTTAAATCTTCATCACCCTTATCTTAACTTTTACTATTGTGAATTCCAGAAAATATATATGTAATCCCTGAAGTAGCAATCAATTGGTCGTTGTATACTTAAGTATGATGTTTTGAGTTTGAACCGAACAGCCCGGGTCCAATATGTACTGCTGAATCATGCAAGCTACGAATTGTGACCTGACTATTAAGCCTGTGTAATTAAGTCCAAGCTTTTAATGTTTTAAGTGGAGGATTATACTCCAGGGTTTCTGGTTTATGATTTGGAAATGGAAGTGGAAATAGAGACAGGTTCTATTAGTGTTTGCTTAAAAAAATAGTGGAACTTGTGTTCTGAAATTAGGCAAGTTAAAGTAGACTGTTCAACTTAAGCTTAAGTCGACACGATTTACTTGTGAGCAAGAAATGCACGGATGCAATGTATAAATTTATTCTAGTTTCTGTTTCCTTAATGGTAAAGTGTGGATTTGAAGATCAAATTTCTTACTGCAGCATCAATTCTTAAGCATTTGTTGGTTTTGAGCTTGTAAATATAAATTGTTAATATCTTGGATGGACATACTCGAATCTGTCTATCACTTCATCAGGGCATCATAATTTCATAGATTAAAACTGATGATTTTCCATTGTTAGTTTTCTGAAATGGAACTGTACTTTGAGTGGATGAGCATTTCTTACTCCATTTTGGGCTTGGTTTCCAGCAGAAGAAACAAAACAAAGAGCTTCTTTTTCTGTACAATCCATCATTGCTGAAATAAATGGAGAAATCAGGAATCTGAGACTAAACACAAGACAAGCAAAAAATGAATCAGTCTTCTCTTATTACAAGCTCTGCCTTCAAAGTTCCGCTTGCTCCTTGGGTTTCATTTCCGAAGCCTCAAATTTCTAATTCCAGGTAAGAGAATTGAAAAAAAATAACAGCAGGTTGAAGTTTTGCACTATGCTCATCTTCTTTTTTCCACAATTTTTCTGCAGAAGTTTTGAGCTTCATAAGGATTTGGCTATTGAGTGCAAGAATTTGAACTACTCAATCACCACCAGAAACGGGAACTGGAAACACATTCTCAAGGGTTGTTCATTCAGGATTCCATCTGGGGAGCTTTGGATGCTTCTTGGTCCAAATGCTTCTGGAAAATCAACACTCTTAAAAGTAGTAACAAAATTATAGCTTCCTTGTTTTCTTCTTTCTCTTTATCAGTGAAGGTGTTTTTGTATACCCTTCTCCCAATGTAATAATGGGGGTTATGCAGATTTTGGCTGGCTTATTGAATCCAACTGATGGTTTTTTGCAAGTAAAGAAGCCAAGGAGTTTTGTGTTTCAGAATCCTGACCATCAGGTTTGATAAAATTCTGGTTTCCAATCTGATTTGGTGATTTGAAGATTATTTTCCTAAATCTAAGGGCAGAGCTTCATTAGCCATATACCCCTCCCTCCCCACACACACAAAAAAAAACCCCTGCTGTAGTTAGTTTGAAGTTACTAAAACTGAATTGAATATGCATCTGTTACCATTGCAGGTAGTGATTCTTATGTTCTATAGTAGTTGTTATGTAGTATACCCATAATACATTTGTTTGCCTAGGCTATAGCCTCAAAAATAGGTTCATATGGATTGCATTAAAGTCAAACTGGAATATGAAGTCTCTTTGTTAATTTCTCACCAACGAGCGTGTATAGGATATTGATGATTTTCGTATGATTTATATGCACTATGAATTTGTTCATCTGGACCTGCAATCATGCTTGTTTAGCATTTATTGCTGTTTAGGTTAGATTCACAGAGATGCAGGAGACTCTTGGTTTGATTGGAACTAAAATGAACCTATGTTGGGTTTGTGCTCTTAAATAACAATGAAAATTGCATTGATTACGTAATTAACTTGAAAGAAGATGAACTTTTGCAGTGCTTCACGGTTTCATCTGTCGTCATCTGTGTTTCTATCTGCAGAGGCAGTATTCTTACTGGTCCAGTATCCTGGTCTAATGGACGATTTTAAAATAGGAGACATTGGCTGATTCCTTTCATTTGCATGTCTCAAAATGTCTTTACCCACCCCTCCTTTTCTTAAAAAAAGCAATCGAGTGGCTGGTGGCTCTCCCATGATGAAAGAAGAATAGGACGTTAACCACTCTTTGAAAATTGTCAAGGAACAAACAATATTAATACCAAAAATACTGGAAGAACTTCATTGGGAGTCAGAATCTAGGAGAAAGCATTGTATGCTGTGTAGTTTGTGTTGTATTAGCAGGGTTCCTTCTTTTGTTGCTTTCAATTTGTTTTTGAGGTGAGTGGTATACAATCCTCTTCTGGCTGAGCTGATTGTTGATGCATAATTTGTGGATGAGTAGTTTGTGGATCTATTAAGCAGTATTTTCCACCACTTTTTGGCACTCACGTTTGGAATCTCTGCTATACGCTTTAATAATCTGGGCAAAAATATAGATGCGTAGTTTGTGGATATGTTAAGCAGGATTTTCCACCACTTTTTGGCACTCACGTTTGTAATCTCTGCTATACACTTTAATCATCTGGGCAAAAATATATAGCCTTATTTAAAGCTATTTTAAAGATATTAGGAATTTCTCAGTGGCTTGCTCTGATATGATGTCTGTCAAGATCTCAACTTGTTGCTTCGATATATAGCATTTTTTTCTCCCTTGTTTAATATTTGCATCCTCCTCAGGTTGATAATCTGCAACTCCCAAACCTCGTATTCATTCTCCAAAATACCAAATCCCTTGTACTTCCAAAATTCAGTTCCTGGTTCCATCCCAAATTAGAGTTTGATCCAAAAATCCTTTCCAGCTCCTGTTTCTTCTTTAAATCCTCAAATGTTAAGAAGCTCGCGGTCCTTTCTATTCCTTGGTCCTCTTCTCCTCTCTTAGGAAATCCAGAACCAATTCCTCGTGTCCGCATGTGGACCTTGTTGTTCTTGTTCTCTTCGCAACAGATTGCTGATTGAACCTCCTTAGTTTGGATGGTTGCTGCCAAACAATTTGCTTCCCTTCAATTCAAATTTTTTCCTGAAGACAAGAGCACTCTCTGCATCCTTTGGCCTGTAGACCATACTATTTGCCTGAATAAAGAGAGGATGTTTAGCTTCGTAGAATCTATATAAGAGCTAAGATCTATACGTAGTTGTTTCCCGTAACGAAATTGTGATTAGAGTTGAGGATCCGACACTAAATTGTTTCTTAGAACTTGCCCCTTGAAACATGCATGGATTACTGCACTATTTGGTGGCATTGTCAAAACAAAACTTGTCAATGATATCCCACTTGAAGGGATAGGATTAGGATTTCATTGAGAAATACATTGAAGTATACTTCTGAATCAGCCTTGTGGAATTGTGGATCTATGGTGAGCTTAACTGCAATCTTGATGGCTGATCAAGTGCCATGGTTGACACAAGCAAACCCCTTGCTTATTCGGCCTCTCCAAAAAACTTTTGAGTTGAGCCCACAAAATGACTGGGTGGATGTCAAGCTTGATTCTTTTTTTCTTCTTTTATGAAGATGGGTTTATTAGACAACCACAAGACCACCCCAGTCCGGCCAATGCCCGGGCTGAGAACAATCCTCTAATGCACTCGCACCACAAGAGACTTGATTTCCTGTCTCCTTAGAACTCAAGCATACAGAGGTACGAGCCTATTGAACAGATCCTGTTCAAGTAAGGTCGTAATGTCAACCTTGATTATAGTATTTACCGTACAATGTTAAACATTTGCTTTCTTGACTATTTTGAATTTATGATTGATTTCATTTTGTGTATGTGAGAACTGGTGTTATACCCTTTTACTTGCCCAAAATGTGTTTCCCTCTCATGCTCTCAGAAAGAGTTGATGCTCTTTGACGATACTTTATCAATAGTTTGTCCCATGAAGTAGGTCAAAGAACAGAAAAGGATTATCCTTGAGCTAACAAGTGAGAGTTTCTACTTTGCAGGTGGTGATGCCTACTGTCAAAGATGATGTGGCGTTTGGTCTCAGTAAATTTAACTTAACTCGTGATGAGATTAGGGATAAAGTTGAGAAAGCTCTGGTTGCTGTTGGCATGCATAATTATTTGCAAGTATGTCATACACCTTTTTTCAATATGCCACAATGATTTCTTTTTTTCTTTTATTTTTCATACGAACTATTGTCTCAATTTATGAGTTACAATTGCCTTTTAGATATGTTAATTTCCTTTACGGAACCTAGCAGAGGCCCATCCAAACTCTTAGTGGTGGTCAGAAACAAAGAGTTGCTATAGCTGGTGCATTAGCAGAAACTTGTAAAGTACTGTTGCTTGATGAGCTAACGACATTTTTGGATGAAACAGATCAGGTACACATTGTACTTTCTTAGATTTTGCATCAAAAGGAATATGAGATTCATATGTTACCTTTGTATGCGTAGCAAATCTTCTACTCTTTTCTTGGTGCATTATAAGTTGATTACATGACAAAAAATAGAAAGTCAGCTGTCCATGTCTCGAGGGCTTCACTTGTCATCATTATATAACCAGAGGCAACGAAACAAATAGTGTAAAGCTGGAAGCATTATGGTAAAGCTTAGCAAGCATGTTAGCTGACACCTTTACTATGGTGCCTTTTGTTACTGTGGTTTTTTTCAATGTGAAGAAGGGGCAAAAAAATATCCAACAAATATAGCTGTTTCTGAAATAGAAATCATCTACTCCCACTGTCCCAAAATATTGTCTAGTTTGGATTTTCAATTTTAGTTTGAAAATGAAAATCCAAACTGGACAATAATTTCGAGACGGAGGGAGTATTATTTATTGGACAAGCATGCTGTTACTGCATTTTTTTTTTTTTTTTTAAAAAAACTCCAATGCAGTTATCTTGTTCTGACTTTGACTTTACTCCAATTACTTGCCTGTCTTTGGCATTCTTTCCTTGTGCAAAGTTTATAATTGAACCGCACTAAAGAGAGAAACCAAAGATTAAGATGTTCACTCAACAATATTTCACCATCAATGTGTATTGTTTTTGCATCAAAGGAGTTATTATAGGATTAACCAGTGTATCAAGGGAGTTGTTATAGGTTTTGAAAAGGATATTGTTACCTATGTTTTTATAGGACTCACCTTCAAGAAGGGTAATGGTACTTTTTGTTAAACCAGAGTGTTATTTTTAGTAGTTTCATCCACCCTTGATTGAGATGAATGTCATTTTACCCAATGGAAGACAAGAACGAGACAATAGAATAGACCGGCAGTCTCGTTTACTTTATTTCCTTAGTCTTGTTTACCTGATCTTCAGGTTTCTAATTAAGAAGATTCGGGAATATCATGATAGGTTGGGGTGATAAAAGCAGTGAAGAGCACCTTGGCGGCTTCCGGAGATATTACAGCTTTATGGGTAACGCATCGCCTGGAAGAACTTGAGTATGCAGATGGTGCCATCTACATGGAAGATGGGCAAGTTGTCAAGTGTGGGGATGCTTCTACAATAATGGATTTGATTGAAGCTAGGCAAAGAGCTTACATGAAAGAAATTGGCTCTTTCTAATATAAGGGTAATTTGTTAACATCTAGAGCTAAAATTTGCTTAGGGTTTTGTTTGAATTGTTTTTCGTGATTTTGGTGGTGTTCAATCTGAAAAATGTACAATATGAAGTTAAAAATTGTTAAAATTTGAGTGCAAATGCTGAAAATGCCAAAAACGAAAGTACATGTATGGAAATTTTTTTGGATGAAATCCACTTTATGTGCCCTAAGAATAAAGGAAAGATCCACTGCACGTGATATTTTTATTCAGTAGCCGGATTTTATTAAAATAATTATCAAATTCTCACTTTCAGTACAATTACTTGCACAATAGTTTTTTATTTAAATTTACACAAATTATAATTAATAAAAAATGAAAAATTATTTATCCATTGGCATGATTTTGTGGAAGAAATAGTAAATCTAATTTTTTTTTTAATTTTGTGAAATAATTGTAAAATCTAGTTTTTTTTTAATTCATTTTGGGAAAAAAATTAAACAAGCAAAACTAAGTTTACACACCAGATAATAATTTTAAAATAATGTTGTTAAAGTTTGAATTAGAGCTATCAACTTATGCAAATATTGTATTCAAACAAAATTCAAACCACCCTATCTTACAAAATACAATTAAGAAATGGTAAAAACTTAGTTAAAAAAAATACTCTTATAAACTCTGTCGGGGCAACAAAGTACAAAAAAAAAAGAAAAAAAGAAAAAAAATACTCTTATAATTAGCCACATATCTCAAAAAAATAACAAAAGATGTCTTCCGTTAATTAAAAGACACATCACAACAATCCGCACCACCACCATATAACCATATAACTTGCACCACCATTCGTAAACAATCCATATAAACACCACCATAGAATTTTTTTTTAATCTTAAGTAAAGTTATAAAATTGTTAATACAACAATATAATAATTAAATTTTTACCATACATTTTGACTGAACTTCTAAATTAAACACTATGTATAAAAAATAATCTTACATTAATATGTATAGATTTATATTACAAATTGGACTTAATTCACATCGGATAATCATTTCTAGTAAGAAGACAATATTCCTGTGCCAAATTGAAGATCATCCAGCTGCAGCTTGACAGCTTGAGAAGCCCAAAAATGGACGTCAACAACCCATGCTTAATTAATTTTTAATTCGTGCCCACAATCCCTGCTGAGAAGATAGATTCTAAATGGTCCCGTTACAATCTAGCGCCAGCGAGCATAAACACCTACACCAGATGTTTGGCAGGCAATTAGTTCAAGAATCTCTTTTCAATCTGTATTTTGTAAGCAAAGGATAAACTATTTCATCTGCAATTGGTGGTTAGTGGACAATATTGGACGGGATTTTTCTTGGTGAGCAGGAGAAATAAAACATAATTTTCTATCTCAAAATGACAATTTTATTTATAGTATTGACAATATAACAAAACACGATAACAATTATATATTTTGTGATGAAATGAGTACTCCACTAGTATAAATGTATAATATGGTAGATTTGTTGAATGAAATTCACTGCCGTAACGATTAGGCCTCTAACTTTATAATTATTTATTAAGGATTACCGGAAATTTTATATGCACACAATTCTCATATATGGAATTAAAAACTTGATTAACAAGAATTGTGTGCATATCTACCATAAACATATATGATGCCAATTCATGATTAGAACACGACGTATGGTTTTAGTATCTGTAACTCGCAAAATTTGCTGGGAATGTATTGATGTGAGTTTTAAGTTTTTGCCATATATATAAAATGGGGGCAAAAAAACTCTCTCATTTTAGGTGTATTTGACTGATCAGATAATACAATAAGTATGGCTCATACATCTGGTACGGAGACATCTGGTAGTATTCCAGAAACAACCCCAAGAATGTCAAATTGAATTTGAAAAGCAAGTGAAATATTTTATTGCATTTATCAAACTAAATGACAAATTTTGGGGAATTAAGTATGTTGGGCAGGAATACATATGGGCCACCCGCTCACCCACACGTTAACACATAAAATCCCGCTATCATATAATAATAACACGTCGCAAAGTAGATTTTAGTAAATTACTAGCAAATATCATTTTCTTTTTTTTGAAGCGAACTATATATCATTTTCTTCTGATGACAAAACCGTCCATCAATTCTGGAAGGAACAATTTATAAATAGTTTACACCACATTTTATGCCAAAACCTATCAAGGAGGAACTTATGGAAGTGACAATGGATGCTCTTCGGATGAATGAAGGGCTTGGCGAAAATAGTTATGCTAACAACTCATTGCTCCAGGTAATGCATGAAATTTGATTTCCTATATAGTACTCATCTCTTTCCGAAACAATTGTCCAATATTTTACTGTACTGTTCAGTACTACAAGCAAGACAATTATTTTAGTAACGGAAGATTTGGTCACATAGTATAAAAGTTTGATATATTGTTTGTTTTATGGTGTGTTAATTGTTTTTTCACAGAAAAAGGTAATACTAATGACGAGACCAATAACAGAAGCTGCCATCACAGAGCTCTACAACACCATTTCTCCCAAAACCTTATGCATTGCGGATTTGGGATGTTCTTCTGGACCAAACACTTTCATGGCGATTTTCGACCTAATAAAAAACGTTGATAAAAGGCGCAAATCTTTAGGGCTTGAATCTCCAGAATACCAAATTTTCTTAAATGATCTACCCAGTAATGATTTTAACACCATCTTCAAATCTGTGCCCGAATTCCTGGAAAGATTAAGAAATGAAATGGAAGCTGGTTTTGGACTGTGTTTTGTGACGGGAGTTCCAGGTTCGTTCTATCAAAGGCTTTTCCCCACCAAAAGTCTCCATTTCATTCACTCATCTTATAGTCTTCATTGGCTCTCCCGGGTAAGCAACACAACCCATTGAAGTTTTGATAAAGGTTTTTATGCTATTATTTTTTCAGGACGGGGGAGTTTACCAATTCCCCGAAATTATTGTCATGTTTGGATTTTTACTTTTATATACTTGGAATAAAAAATGAAACTGCGTAGTTATTTTGTGGCGGAGGGAATACATGTTTAAAAATGTAAGAGAGGGTTTTATATAAGGTAATTTGTTGATGACAATTTACAGATTCCTGAAATGGAAGAAGCTAACAAAGGGAACATTCACATGGCAATTTCAAGCCCTCCGAGTGTGAAAAAGGCATACATGAACCAATTTAAGCAGGATTTTTTTGCTTTTCTAAGCTGCCGCGGCGAAGAAATGGTGGCTGGTGGCCGTATGGTTTTGACAATGTGTGGAAGAAATAGCGAAGAGCCTTGTAGAAGAGATGGCACATATCGTTGGGAGGTTCTAAGTATGGTTCTCAGAGATATGGTTGCCGAGGTATGTGTATAAGCCATCAATAGGCATCTTAATTTTTCTTTTGGGCCAACTATATTTTACCCCTTGATTTTTTGTCTGATTTACTAATAAATCTCCTGAGTTTTGATAATATTATTATATATCCCTTTCACCAGGGGTTTAGACATTGAAATGACTAAATAGCCATGGTATAAATACACTTTATTTTTTTTTCTTTATCCAAAGGTTTACATGCGTTGTCAATTCTACCCTATTCTTTTTCGATTAGCCAATATTACCCTAAGTTATCCAACCATTAGCCGATTTTGTCCAATTGGCCAATTTTCGTTTAAATTAACGGAATTTTGTTAGTTTTAATTATAAAAAATACCCTAATAATTTTTAAAATTATAAAAATGACCCTAAAAATTTGTAAAAATAACCAAACAGTCCTTTTACACTTTTTATTTAATTTTTTCTGTTTTCTATTTATTTTTATTATTTCTCATAACTATACAAATATATTATATGATCTTTTAAAAAAAATATTTATTTTTAAACACTACTGTGCAAATTTATAGATATGTATATTTGTAACTCATGGTTGATTTACGTAAACATATTAATTTTTTAATAATATAACTTGACAATAATGATATTAGTTTTTTTAATCCTTTTTTCAATTTAAAGAATAATATTTTTTGACTAAAAACCAATTTTTTACAAAAAATTAAAACATTTAGCATAGATTCAAAATTAATATATTAGTACATTTTAATTTATTACAAATTGAATAAAAAAAACTACAGATTGTATTATCCAATTCAAAAAATTACTAAACTAAAATATAGCGTACAATCTAGTGTTTAGGGTGTTGAGCTTCATGATAGTAGATATAAGATTAATTTTTACCAAGGATTTTTAACGGGAGAGTGATTTTATCATCATTTATGCATGGTTTACTAAAGGTGAAAGGGTTGAGTTGGATAGTCAGGTGATTTAAGATGGGAGATGATTATTACTGTGTTCGAGGCATCAATTCTCACTGGGGCGATCTTTTTTTTTTTTTAAAGGTGGAGTCCAGTACTGGAGCAGATTTTTTTTATTATTATTAAAAAAAATTTGCGCTAAAGTTAGATGTTAATATCTCAAAAAAATTATCACGAAATGTTAAACTCTCGCAATGATAAAGATACATATTTTTTATAAAATATTTTATTACCATTTTGTTTTACTTTCTGTTTGTACTTGGCCTTTTAAAGGAAATTTATATTTTAGTTTAATTATTTTTTTAATTTTACAATACAATCTAAATTTTGTTAAATTATATTATAATAATACATTAAAGTATACCAATTAAAAAATTAATCTATGCTAAATGTTTTATTTTTTGTGCAAAATTGGTTTAGTTAAATAAGCTTATTTTTTAGATTGAAAAAAATAGATTAAAAAAATAATATCATTACTGTTAAACCATATTATTAAAAAATAATATTTTTATGTAAATCAACCATGAGTTACGAATATGCATATCTATAAATTTGCACAATAGTATTTTAAAAATAAATAGCTTTTTTTAAAAACATTATATAATATATTTTTATAGTTATGAGACATAGTGAAAAGAAATAGAAAACAGAAAAAATTAAAATAAAAAGTGAAAAAAGACTATTTGGTTATTTTTACAAATTTTTGAGGTCATTTTTATAATTTTCAAAGCTATTAGGGTATTTTTTGTAATTAAAACTAACAGAATTCCGTTAATTTAAACGGAAATTGGTAAATTGGACAAAATCGGCTAACAGTTGGATAGTTTAGGGTAATATTGGCTAACCAAAAAAGAATAGGGTAAAATTGACAACGCATGTCAACCTTTGGGTAGATCGGCCAATTTTTACTTCTTTTTTTTAACCGCTAAAAATGATCAATAATACTTAATTTGTTTTAAAAATCAAGAATTTTTAAATTAAATTATTACATAAATTAATAAATAAAATTTATTCCATGATTTATAACATAAGTTAATTATGAAAATTATCATATTTCAAAAGAAGCAACATAGTTAATTTTGAAAATGTATTATTAAGTACATTAATATCAAAGAATTATTATGGTATTACTTTAACTTCATCTATGATATACTTTCAAAAATATTTAAAGTGCATAATTAAAACAAAAATGTAGACTGAAGGTATTTTTGTCTGTTTACTATGTTAAAGGGGGTATTTAGTAATTTGACTATAATCAAGCCGATATTTGATAGTATTATCTAAACTCGGAAGGTTTATCGTAGGTCTAGCCAAAACTTGTGGCGTAAAATGTAGTTTGCCCTTTTCTTTTTCGTTTTCCTTTTTTCTTTTTAGCCTTTTTTTTTAGGATTAAAGGAACTAAGAAATTAACTTATAATGATTCGAAGGAATTCGGCATTTCATTAAGTTTAAAAGTTTTAATTTATCTACTCAAAAAACAATGTCACCAAAGATCTTTTGTGATAATTTTATATTACAATCAGTGTGACACTAGATAAGTAATTAGTACGTATCATAACAATATTAAAACAAATACAAACATTAGAGATATCTCAAATATTCAACTAATGTATAACACAAAAAGTGTTACAAAAGTCATTTACCATGAAAGACAAGCTTCATATGAATTAGTGGGTGCCTTATAAACAATTCCCTTGTTTGAAATTGTTCCTATGAGAAACAATCCCTCTTGATTTGGAAAAATGCAAATATTTGTTGTATGAAATGTTCTACAAATCATTCATTTTTGGTTCCATATAAAACAAACTTCATTGGCTAAATGTAACCTGCAGTATTTTATCAAAAATGGCAGGGACTTATAGAAGAAGAAAAACTAGACTCATTCAACCTTCGTGATTACAGACCATCGGTAGGAGAACTGAAACACTTAGTTGAAATGGAGGGATCGTTTAGAATTGACCGCCTTGAGGTTTACGAGATCTATTGGAATGGATATGATGAAGGTGAGATTTCAAAACACGAAAAATCCCAAGATGTCTTTGGATACTACATAGTGAAATGCATGAGAGCTGTGGTTGAGCCTTTGCTTGTTCATCACTTTGGTGAAGAAATAATTGAGGAGGTTTTCTTGAGGTACAAGCAAATCATTAATGATCCAATGTCAAGAGAGGAGAAGACATTGTTTGTTAATGTGACTGTCTCCTTAACAAAAATGATTTGATTGTTTCTGAATCTTTTGTTTCCCAAATGATTGAATGATTGGAATGGCCAAACTGTGAAAATGTTCGAAGATGATTGGGATATACCTCTTCTGTCTCAAGAAAAAAATAATAATTATATTCAATTGAAAACTCCAGCTAATAGAAACCTCAACAAATGGTTTATTCTTTAGCTCGGACAATTTGCATCTTAATTTGTGGCTCCATTAAAGGCAAGATCACATATTTCTTGGAGGGTAGGAGGATTTAATTCTCTCTTCCCTGCTAGCAACATAAATGCATGCAGCCACCAACGCATCTATGTAACTCATTTCGCCTACTACACTTTTGATCTTCCAACCTCTTTGTAGTAGTTCTCACAAGCCAGATCCTCTACGCTCACCACAAGACATACTTTGTCACACATGTCAGAAATACCTTCTGTTGGGCCAACTTTTTCCAGCTGGGCTTGGAAAGGTTTGGTAGGCAGTTGGGCCGAATCAGACTAAAATAGTGGGTCATGGAATAAGCTTTAAGGGGAATCAGAGTCCGATTTGGAGAAGGAAGCTAAATTAGTATTGGGCGAGAATTGTGAACTGACTGGGATTCAAAGATTATTTAAAGGGATCGCCGGAAGGAGAAAGGACACAATCAACTTCGCAATAAATTGCTTATTTTATTTTTCAGTCTTTTTCTTTTCGATTTAATCTCCAAAGTTAAGGTTCGCCAAGAACTCCTTGAATTAAGCCGATCATCGGCAGCTATACTTATTCTTTGAAGATTATAATAAAATCTGGCATCCGGCCGATTCTTATTTCCCAAAACTTTTATTCTTCATTTATTTAGCATATTTTTAAAGAACAACACATAGTTGTTTGAGATATTTTGTATAATTCTTCTAAGGCTAAAATTGTGCAAACATATTTTTGGCACACTTGGTGGGACAATATATCTTAGTGCTAAATAACTCAGGTTGGCTACCACAGCCATGATGGAGGTGATACCCCCTGAACCGCCGCAACCGCCGGCGAGTACGACTACCTCAACGTAAACATTAGCTCACACTTTGAGTGGATTGATTCCTGACAATTCGCCTAGACAAGCAGATACCAGTGAGTCTGCATTTACTAAGGAATTAATGAGCGCCATGGTAATATTGGTTGAACGAGTAAATTCAATACAGATAGACCTAAATACCATCAAGGCACCAGGGCAGTGGGCTATCACTCCGAGTTTCGTAGGGCAAGAGAAAAGGATAAGCAAGATGCCAGAACACTTCAGCGTGAATCCCTTGCACTTTTTAGGCCATGATGCTCCGAGATCGTCTCATCCCATGGTGGGAACATCTTCACAATAGTTGGGTGTAACACCAAGCTCTGAACGAATTCCAAGGAGTTGGTATGAAAAGGTTGTGTCTAGCCAGCAGGCGTTTATTCCCCCATATGGAAATTTCACTTTTGACGGTAGATCAACCCCACCAATCTCCAGTCAGTACCAACCTTATTCTACGGCAATAGCTATGCAGGGGATAACTCCAGCCACTAGCGCCCTTGATCAGTTAAAGATAGAAGAGAGTAGTCAGCGGATGTACGCGGAAGAGACGGTTAGGATACAAGATCAATTGCCCGATGGAAGCTATAGTCTGATGGTTCCATGCAAGATTTTCAAAGGAGTGATTCCTCCTGTAGCTCTGCAAACAACATCAACCACTGCTCCAGCAACTGAGTCAACAACAGCCAATCAACAGACCCAACAAACAATTGAACAGCAATCAGTGCCACCAGTAACAGGTTGTTGCTATGTTGGGTGGATCTTCAATGCCACCTCATCCTACAAGGGAAGAAGTACGAGAAAACCGATTATGGACCGGTGTAGAGCATGAACAAAATAGAAATAAAGAAGTAGCTGCTAGGATCGCCACCGCAGGTTCCAATTCGGCCCAAAACAATAACACCCCTAGGATGCTAGCTCAAGGGACGACAGGGAACCAGCCGCAGTATGTCACCATGACAAACCAACAAGGACAGCTTCAATATTTTCAAGTGTTGGAACTCCCTAATCATCATCTACAGTTGGTGCTAGTGATTAATCCACCAATCACCAATTGGTACAGTGGGAAACGGACTTCAGGTTACAAGAGTTCCACTGACACATCAAGGGTCGCTACCCAATGGAGGACACAATCAGCCTCGAGAACCGGTAGTTAATCAGGCGGCAACATATATTAATAATGCCAATCCGGCATGGAACCAGATACCAAAAGCGAAAGGGACCGGTCCGAAGGAAAACGTTGGGCAACAACCAGGCGGTACAGGACATGTGCCACCGACCAATGCTAATCCAGCTTTGAGAGCTGATCAGATTGAGTTATTGATGACAGTAAAATATATACACTTTTAGCAGGTATTTTCTACTCATTTTACTTAGAATTAGGTGTCAATTAATTAGAATTAGTTTACTTTTGGGTTGATTTTTTATGTAAGGGTAATCAAGGGGCCAATGTGAAAAATCAGCATAAATGAGGGCCAAATTGCACAAAAGAGCATCATTCTAGACTGAAATGGAAGCTGCTGGAAATCAGGCTACTAGAGGATCAATCAGAGCTGAAGAAAGTGGAGAAATCCTTGCTGAGGAAGGAAGAATAGCAGCAGATGATCACAACTTGGAAGAATTTGCAGTAGCACACTCAATTGAGAAGAAGAAGGGTAGCTATTCTGTTGCCAAGTTTTTGCTGCAGTAGCTGTTGCTGGTGTTAATCAAAGAGGATCCACGAGCTGAAATCTTGGTGCCCAAAGAAGGAAATTACTTTGCCATCACTGCAAGTTGTTGCTGTTGCACGTGGAAGAAGAGAAAGAGGGAATATATGTGAAGAACAGCAGCTGCAACTCGTCTACTTACCAACTGATGTTGCTGCTGAGTTGATGGTTTGGCTATTGCAGAAGGGTGAGCAATGGTATAGCAAGTGACCCAGGAAACAAGGAAGAAAAAGGGCAAAAGATTGAGGCTGAATTGGGGGCTGGAAACACAATGATGGAAGGAAGCATGCTGCTGATGCTGCTGCTTGGTGACTGCTGCAAATTGAGATGAGAGGATTTAAAGAATGAAGATATGGAGATTTGTGGTTACAAATGGTGAGAATGCGCCGGAGAAGAAGACTAAGGAAAAGAAGCAATGATGAGCAGAAGGTGGCTGATTGCGGCTGAAGAAGAAAGGAGCTGACTAGAGAAGACAACAACTTGCCCAAAACAAATACCTTCAGCTACTGCAACTTGCTGTCTCCTCCAATCTGCTGCAAGGAAGGCCAGAACTCCACTAATCCAAGCCTCTCCAAATCTCTATAAATGGTTAGCCAATAGCAGTTAGAAAGGAGGACAGATTGGGTAGTTAGAATCAGTCACAAAAATAGTAGTTAGGTAGTTAGTTAGTTGGTTAGGAACAAGGTAGTAGCAGGAACAGGAGTGCATACTGTCACTCTGTCAAGTGGCGAACGCCACTCGCCAAAGTGAGTAGACAGTAACTGCCCTGCTACCATATTTCCCTTCTATCCTCTAACCTTTTGATCTTGAATTGTGTCTTGTCTTTTGCACTTTTTTGCTCTCATTTTTAACTCAATAAACATGAGTAGCTAACTCAGTTAAGGGTTCAATCCCTGCTATCTTTATGTGAAGGTTTTGATTGAGTTTTACTTGATGAGGCATTGTTGCTAGTTTAAGTGCTTTAATTAACCTTTTGATTAAAATGACCACTTAATTAAATGTCCATGCATGTCATGAAGATCTGAGAGGGCAAACATAACTAGAACGTCTTAAATTAGTCTATGACAAAGGAGGAAATCTATCCTTTAGTTTCAATCATCAATGAGAGTTTTGTGATTGGCATAGGTGGTCAGTAGGGCTTAAGAACTCAATGGCCTTGATTATTCTCAATAATCTGACTGAGAGGTAGATCATTTAGTAATCTAGGACTCTTTACTCTATCTGAGAGGAATTATAAAGAATACATGTGCTCGATCAAACAATAAATCATACACTACAGAATTACTTGAATTAAAACTGGATCATAAAGGTATGAAGGTGATTGACCCTCCTGCCTCTTCACTCTGCCAAGTGACTATTCTCACTCTACCAAGTGACAAATCTGTTCAACTCTTTTACTTTCCTTTTCTTGCACCTTAATCAGATTTTGAGTGGTTGACTGTCATCTCTGTGGAACGACCTACCTTACCACTAGCTAATAGTTTTAAGAGGTTTTATAAATATTCTATTGAGGGTGAAATCAACAACAGTTGATACGAATCTTGAGGCAAATATGGCAGATTTACCTCGATGCGGAAGCTATGAATTTCCCAGGACTTGAAAACTTGCAAACCCAATATTATGGACTCCAATACTCATGAAAAATAAAAGAAAGAAGAGATGCAAATCACAAAAATTTACACCAAAAAAGGATGGAACGGTTTAGAAGATGTAGAAAGTGTTTAAAGTTAGCAACCCAATCGGTCACCTCTCTAACAATCCTATCCCTTCGATTTATGGATAGAACGGCTAGCGAAAAGGCTCCAATAAACAACTAACAAAGCTCCAAAAGTAGAAAAACACCTATTCTACTTGCATGCATCAACAAAGCACAAGCTTGTGTGCAATGCACTAATCTTCGAAAAGAGTAGAAAAAGAACAAAGAGTTTCCTCTCGTCTCATATTGAAATAATTCATCAAAGGTACAAATGAAAAGCTGGCCAAGCACCCCTATTTATAGTAGAGGGGGGCGAAATTCTCCTATGAAGTAGGAGAAGAGTTTGATCTCTAACTCTTTTCCTACTTTAAAGAACTAGAAATCAACTTAGCCTCTAATTGACAACTTGTGTCTTATCTATTAAGACAATGTATCTAGACACCTTTATAGACTTAAGACACACTAGTCTATTGAAAATAAAACTCCAAATACAAAGAGATATTCTCTCAAAAGAATCTTATCTTTATGTTGAAAAGAATCTTCCTGAGTTGTCAACTCCACCAATATCTTC